AAGACGGCATACGAGATGCCTAAGTGACTGGAGTTCAGACGTGTGCTCTTCCGATCTATAACTTCTTTTGTTATCACTATTTAAAAGTAAAACTTTAGCACAATGTTAGCACAACCTAGCACAACTTGGCACAATTGAGAAAATTGAAAAAAAACGAAAATGGGGGGCTGATTAAAAAAATGGTTTTTTAAAATTAATTGACACATTTTCCGCACTACAGGTTTAATATTCTAGCACAATGTAGCACAAACCTAGCACAACTGTCGAAATTATTTAATTCTAAAAGTGGGGGGCTAACTTCGTGGAGGCCATGCTGGACCTTTGTTGAAACATCTGGGGCTTTCACGGAGATATCAGGTACTGAATATACATGGGATTGGATGATGGCCGAGGCTGGTAGAGCCAGATTTCTATGAATATTAGTATAATAGAACATAACATAATCTATACTGTGCTTTGCCAATTGCGCCCAAGGAGTATTGAAGCTTTGTGATACTGCCTATAATTGCCGACTATATACGGGTTCCGGACTGGAAATTTCATTAGTGGCCAAATAGAAAGAGCTCTTAATCCACTGAGTTTCCGTATCTGCGTGGGTGATAATAGATAAGGGTTAATGGTAGAAAGTAGAACCTACGTAGTACTCGTCACTTTATACTTGCTCGTACTATAGTTTTTAGAGTTGGTTTAATTAGTATTAGTGCCACTGTTAGTTGGCAAGTTCTGAGTTTCCTGTAAAGATTATTGTTGATTTACGCGGCGTTTTCATCACGGATTGAGTAGTAGAATGTTGAATGTTTTTTCTTAATGTTTTTTAGCGTTACTATTATTATTGTTAATTTACTTATTGTTTTGATTTAGTATTGATTTACGCGGTGTTATTATCATTATTGTCTAAAGGATAAGTTAGTCAGTAAGTTAGATTTAAGTAAACATGTAAGTTGATTATAATTATTCAGGCAAGTAGTACTCTGTAGAGAATAGTGATTCCAGGCCAGGGGACTGTCTGAGTCGAGCTGAGAGTGCTCCTCCTTCGGCCCCTTAGGTCTGCGAAGTGACAGTGCGGTAACGGGAATTTTCCGTTGATAAATATCGTCCCCCATAATGCTACGCCCCTAGTGGAGCGTACAACTCTGTTCCTGTGGAGGGAGAAACTTATAGTGGACTTGGAGTAAACTCTGGGCGGAATTAGATACAAACTTCAGACAAATACAAACATGGATATGTCGGATAATAAAGAAAAAACCCCTTCAGGGAGCCCTGGAGAACGGCGCGTGGGGGAGTCTTGTCCCTCTTCCCCCGTGTCGACAGCGCGCGTTGGGAGTGGGGCGGGAGTTATGACGAGGCCCTCGCTCAAACCGGCGATCGTCAGCATAGAGAAACTGCATGTGGATATAAATGCCCTCAGATTACGACCAGGCACGGCGAGTGAACTCTCTACACCTTCAACGCCTGAACGATATGAAGAGGCACTATCCGAGACTCTGGCAGCAAAGCCTAGCAGGATTAGAACAAGGAGTAAAAGCGGACGAGACATGAAGGTGGAATTTGTATCCACCTTCCAAGCGGAGGAATCGATGAGACCGAGGACATCGGCAGACGGAGACTTAGAGATTGTCTCGGTGGAGGCGGGTACCGGCACTAAGAGGGGGTCCACTTCCTCCTCTTCTGGGAGAATCAGACTTCCTCCATTGAAAGTAGGACAGAAGAGGAAAAAAGTCCCGACGTCGCCCAAAACAGACAAGGAGGAGGAGACTCCGAGAACGAACTTCTCGGACACCCAAAGAAAGGAACTAGACCGAAGACTACAGGATATTGAGCATCTCTCTTCCTCCGATATGGCGGCCAGAGCCATTGAATAGCTTGAAGATACGGAAGAGTGCCGCAGAATGTCGAACAACATCAAAGGATCGATCACAAGGAAGATGAAACTAAACGTGGCAACCGTGGCAGAGATCACAAAAATCATATCGATGCGGGCCTCTCAGGAGGGGGACATTGGTTTCATGAGAGCAAGATTTGCTGATATGCAGAGCGAGATAAACGGGCTCAGGGAGGAAAACCAGCGTCTAAAGCTCCAAATGGAGGAAATTCAAAGTGGACTTAATATAAGAACGAGCCCAACCGGAAACCTTGATCTCGGGCGTGGAGCCACTCCAGTACGAATGGAGATCTCGCCGAACCCTCCCCTGGGGTTAGAGGCAAACAGGAGTCGGGAGACATCTGTGCGGCCGCAGTCGGAAAGGGAAGCCAGAGAAACGCGGAGCAAAGGAACGAGATCCCCCCAGCTAAACACACGGGACTACTAGAAGAGGAATTTTTGGACAGACTGGGCTCCATCATTAGTGGGGCAGTTGCCAAAGCAATATGGACGCAGCTTCCTGGACGTGGAACTGATGGTGAGAGGAAACACGAGAGACCAAGGGACCCTCTTGAAAGAGAACGCCCCCGTGGTGAGGAGGGCTGGGGCTCGTCATCGGCTATCATGGACTCACAAGCAGTAGAGACGGAGGACTACAGTCCCCTGCCACAGAGAAAAGGAGCAACAAGACGACAAAGAAGGAGAGAGCGAAGGATCCGCAGGAGAATGATGGGTGACCCAACCGGGGATATGGCGGACGTAATAAACAGACCTGGATACTCGGAGGACTACCTCCCTTTGCCTGAGGTAGAGAGGGGGGATAAGCAGCCACGGCCGGTCCGCGAAGGTACACGTTTCCTTCAACGAGAAGAGAGGGCACACGAGGGAATACAGGTAAACAGAAGAACAGCAAGAATACCGCGCAGTCGGGCCCCCCGCTCGTCAGCTATTACAATCTCCCGCCCGGAGGACGGGATGACTTACTCTGAAATCATCCGGAAAGTCCGGGACGAGATTGCACTTGAAGAATTGGGCATTAAAGAGACTAGGATGCGGAACACGGTGGCGGGGAATGCCCTAATAGAGATTCCGAGGGAAAATAACATTGCCGGCCGCAGATAGCCTGGCAAAAAAGCTGCGAGAAGCATTTAAGGACACAAATATTCAAATAAGAAGGCCCACCCTAAGAGGAGAATTAAGACTGGCGGGATTACATGCGTCAGTAACTACGGAGGAGCTGATTGAGACGTTGGCTAAAGAGGGTGGCTGCAATGTGGCGAATGTCCGCTTAGGCTCATTCCGGCTAGCGAGAAGTGGCCTAAGGACGGTCTGGCTACAGTGTCCCTTGGATACGGCGACCAGACTAGCAGAAACTGGGAGACTCCGGGTGGGCTGGTCCACCGCTCTCGTGACGCTGCTGAAGAGGAGACCTATGCAATGCTTCAGGTGCTTTGCGACGTGTCACGTGAGGGACAGCTATCCGAGCGAAGTAGACAGAACGGACAAATGTTTTAATTGCTGCGAGGCGGGCCACACCATGAGGGATTGCGGAAGACCCCCATGCTGCCCTATATGCAGGGAAAAGAGCCTAAATTATAACCACAGGGCAGGCTCAGAGGTTTGCCCACCGTGCCCGCCGAGGAGAGACCTTTGCAGAAGCCCGAGGCGCGGAGAGACCCAGGCCAATCGGAACAACGTGGCCGAAGAACGGACGGTGAATTAATGCCCGGCAAGAGGATCATCCAGATCAACCTTAACAGATCCAGTGGGGCACAGGATCCGTTGATGCAAACTATGCGGGAGCGGGAATGTGGATTAGCTTGCATATCGGAGCCGTATCGGTGCCAAAAAATCCCGGATGGGCTCGCTCCAGGGAGCAGACTCCCATGGCAGCTATGCTGTGGTCCGAAGACGGATTGATGGACGCCACCTCGACTCTAAAGATGAGCGACGGATACGTGATGGCTTCCTGGGGGAAGCTTATCGTGGTATTATGTTACTTCTCGCCCAACAAAAGCATCAATCAATTTAGAGCATATCTGGCGGAGGTGGGTAACTACCTGAACCACCCACTTCTAATACTGGGAGATTTTAATGCCCGCTCGAATATCTGGGATGATACCCACCCGACCGTGAGGGGAGATACGATCACGACGTGGGCCTCTACTTTGGACTTCCGGTTGCTGAATAACAACAACGAACCGACATGTGTCAGGCCGCAGGGCAAATCGGTAATCGATTTGTCCTGGGCGTCTCCGGCGGCCCTTCGGCTGATTGACTCCTGGGAGGTGGCCACTGAGGAGGAAATTCTATCAGATCACAAATACATTTATCTGAACTTGAAGCGGGAACAACAATGGCAGAATGGGGACCTCATGCGGATAAGACATCTGAAATGGAACCGGAAGAGCCTAAATCCAGACTTGCTTCGGGCTGGAGTTGGCACATTCCTCTGGCCCAAGCAAGGCGACAACAGCGACAACCTCAGTGCTGAGGAGCGGGCGAGACAACTGCAAACCATGATGACTGAAGCATCGGACTTAGCTATGAAGCGGCAGAGACCTGGCCCGAAAAGAGCTGTCTACTGGTGGAGCAGTGATATAGCGGATCTCAGGAAGAAGTGCATTTCCCTTAGAAGGCGGGTGATCAGAGTCCACAGGAGAAATGGAGGTGCGGCTCCAGAGCTGGAGGTAGGGCTATTACAGGCTCGCAAAGCTCTGAGAACTGCCATAAAAACGGCAAAAAATACGGCCTGGAATGAGCTTCTGTCCACGATTAATCGGGACCCATGGGGTTGCCCTTATAAATTAGTAATGGACAAACTGAGACCGGCCGCCAGGCCTGTATGTGAAACGCTTCCACTTAACAATATCCGGGAAATAGTGGCGCGCTTGTTTCCCCACAGAGAGGAAGAGCTCTTGGAGAAACCAAGGCAGTATGCACAACCGGGCACAACGGCGATTGAGGTTAGGAAAGCCACAGTACCGATTTTATCGCGATGGTATAGAAGGCAGCATGGTCACCTTACATACCGGATGACCCAAATGAAAACGGGTCATGGCTGCTTCAACGACTTCTTATATAGAATCGGCAAGGCATGAAGCAGAGAATGCTCGTTTTGCGATGCCCCATGCGACAGCAACCTTCATACTCTGGGCGGCTGTCGGGCTTGGGATGGTGATAGGCAGGCACTTGCGAGCGTCATCGGCAAGGATATGTCGCTGGGCGCGGTCATGGCGGCTATATTAAGAACACGAGAAAACTGGATAGCATTCGGTAAATTCAGCGAAAACGTTATGCTGCGCAAAGAAGAAGCTGAAAGAGCAAGACAGGCGGAAGCACATGGAGCGGGTAATCAGATGGTATATTCAGAGGAGGAGGATGAGTAACATCTAGCCATTCTAGGCTAACCACATCGGTTGTATCGGCAATTCGATTTTCATCATCTTGGCAGTATTCTCACTTCCTGGCGGAAACCTGTACACTCATAGAACTTTGGTCCTGTGAGCCTGTGTGGTGGGTTCTGTCGAGAGGGGCTCTGATGTAATACTCTCCGGTAGTCCCGGGGCCCCTCTTTTAGATCTCGCGATATCTTCTAGATGGATTTTTAGCAGGTAGGCGATCGGTAAGGCCAGCAACTTCAGTCAGCCCAAGGGCTGACTGAGACCGTCAAGTCAAGACCGGTCGAATTCTGCACTCCCCTGTAACAGGCGCAGGGAGTCTGTGAAGATTTTTACCACCTTTATAAAAAAAAAGGTTAGGTTGGGATTTGAGCGGTCGTCTCGTGTGTGTCGAGGTGTACAGACGTGCCTCCGTGCTGCTCCGTGGTCTCCATACACGACCGTGCGGTTAAAGCGCGTTCATTGCATGTGGTTTGTGATCTTGTGTCGATTCACAAAGTTTCGTGTGCGTAAGTACTATAACGGCGAAGAAATTAACGAATTTCTTGTATCGCGAAACGTGGCTCGTTGCTCCGGCCTAAGATGGTTGTCGTTTCTGCGCTGGGCATGCCGTGGTAACGTAGACGAAAATATCCTTTCCGGGGATATTTCTTCAGTCCTGGGCATAAAGTTCGTTTCGTTGCATTGTCTTGCAACGACTGGCTATTGCGGTTCGCGATATTCTGGTCCCGCGCCGGAATAACAGCTGAACATATGTGCGGGTCGGCCAGGGCGTTACGTAAGTAGTGAGTGCTCCGAAAAGCGCGGAAACACGCTAACAACGTATAGGAACCTTATGGTATATACAGTTGTCAAGCAAGTGTAGTGCCGAAGCGATTAATTTTGGAGTGTGTTTGCTGCGCGGTTCTGTATTGCTGGATATGCATACTGAAAAACAGTAAAATCGCGTTGTGAATGTGTTTAGTGCCGGGGTGTGCACTAGAGTGCACGTCCTCTTGCGCGGGTTCATGCGAACGTGCCTTTGTTGGGGTGCGCGGTCTCGACTCTCTATGCTTCGTGGTTGTCGCGCCACGTGCTCGGAGAGCGACTATCTGGGCGTGTACTGTTGTACTGGACATTGGTCATTCTGGGAGGTGTTGCACGGTATGCACAGGGTGTGTATGCGCGCATGCCTGATTGCGTTTAACGAAAGTGAACGCTTGGTGGCGCGCGCCGCGCAGGCATGTGCATGATTATGGTGGCCGCGAGTGTTGCTTGCCGCGGCTCCTAACGATGCTTTGAATGTTAGCTTTTGTGGTGCCACTGCTTCGCTTTGCTCTGTGTAGTTGATTAGTTGCAGTGCTGTGGGCCGGCGGCGATTGGTCAGCTGCCCCTCCGTCTGTCGGAGGATTTCTGCTGGCCGTGTGGGACGCCTGACGGGCTTCTGGGACCCGCGGTCTCCCTCCTGCTTGTTATAGTGGTGTGGATGTCCTTAGGGTCCGGCGCTTTTTAACTTTTGCCTACACGCGTCCTGTGCCCGCTGCTTCCGGCTGGACATCGGCTGTAGAGGTAGAAGCTGTAAATGTGTCGTTCTACCGTGAAAAACAGAGTCTTGTGCCGCCCCTGATGAGAGGTATCGTGTCTTTGAAGCGCTATCAAATAATGGCATTATCGTTAAATTAATTCGCGACGATTCATACGAGCCGAGATTACTTTTTGTAGTAAATCAGATCTGACTTTCTAAAAATTTTATAAATACTTTATACTTTATATAAAACTGTCTCATGTGTAAACGCGAGGGCGGTTCCGGCGCCTATGTACCGCACGTGCGGGCAGTGACGCGATATAGTTTCTATGCGGTTCTTTTTCTGTGAAAGTTTTTTTATACGGAGCTTGGATGTAAACTTTAAGATAAGAACAGACTTGGCAATAAGTAATCTATTAGTTATTAGTCATTAAATGTACGATCTAACGGTCTTGTGCATGTTTATACGATATGTGCAGCCATTGCACTAAGATGCTTGCATACATGAGCTGAAATGTGAACACTGTGTGGAATACTGACACGTGTGGCTCTCCGTGATTCCTGGGAGCTGTCACGGAGCTCTGTCTGTGGACGTGCGGATTTACGCGGGAGTGTGTGTTTTGATGCATCAACACGATGGGGATGTCAATTTCGCTGAACGGTAGCGTTAAAGGGAGAGAAATTAAGTGAGGCCAGTGTTCTCTGCCCTCTGCCTGTGCAGGGTAGACGGTGGCATGCCCCCACTCGGTGTCGCATAAGGTACAGGATTTTGGATGCGTTTTGCGTCGGTATTTGAATTACACTCAAATAAAGTACCAAGGTAAATGACTTGCGACGCGGTGCGCTTGTTTCCCACGTGGAATCATTCGATAGTAAGGTTAGAAGAGGCACACCTGTATCCGGAATGCAGATGTGAGAGGAGAGTGTCTACACGCGAGCAGTATACAGTGCCACGCGGCCGTGAAGGCCGGGGCGTGGGACCTCGGAAAATACGCGTTTTTTAATGGGAGCCGCGTTTCGCTGCTGTTTATATATATATATACGTAGATTGAACCGCGTTCTATAACGATTGCAGTGTGCGGGCCGCAATACAGGTGTTGTGCTGCTTGAGTCGGCGCTGAGTGGCGGCATTGTCGCCGCCATACAGTGTTGAGCGATGCACGGGCAAATATTTCAAGCTTTACAGCGGACTCTTGGAGCGGCCTTTCCTGTGCTGGATTACGCGTGCGCCTTGGAAACATTGTTGCGTCCTTGGGTCTTTTCAGGAGGAGTCTTGGACCCAAAGGAGGGCCCCCCTTCTGATGTGACCGGAACTTATCCCGACGTCGTAAATACCCGTGTGCCCTTATCTGATTCTTCCCCGAAGCACCTCAATGCGCAGGCCCGTTGAAAAGCCAGCCGAGACTTTAGCGCTTATTCTAAACTTTTTTACCGTATACCGCGTCTACCTGAAATATGTTTCTCAGCATGAAGAATGGTCGCCACTTCGTTTTTCCTTAGCCACGAAGAAGGTTGAATGATCTGCAAGGCCACCACCGATGATCTGCGATACCCCGGTGTTCTTTAGTGTGGTCTGCTTTTTGGAATTCTCGCCCCGGAATGTGGTGGATACGACTCGTCGAACGGAACGAAGCGGGATGAGATGTAGGCGCTTATTTCAACTCACTCTTGATAATTTTCACAATGTTTATTCAAAATATATACGATCTTAGCGCACAACATTCACACACACACTTACGCTCTCATGATCGGGAATTAACGCAAACCACGTACGCGGTCGGAAGCCGCAAGGATCGACTCGCAACACGTCGACAACGCGAATTGTCGTGCGGACGGCTCGTCTTCCGAGGTCTCAATCGTTTCGCGGACCGACTGAGATACGTATTACTCGAACCAACGTTACACGTATAAGAAATGGACGTATCGGAATCACCACTCGCGAAATACTCGACTTCACGGGTAGAATTTGTAATACTTAAACGTCACTGAATAACGTTCCCAAAACTATCATAGTTCGACCATTTCAATGTTGAAGTATTAAAAATATAATTAATTCCTTTTATTCGTCTTGAAAATACTTAATATCGCTTTACCTGGCTGTTTTTACTTATTCGCGTGGAAAACTCTTTAAAACCAAACTTATTTCCTGTACCAAATTAACTCTTGGACTTTTTAATTACAGGTGTGATGACAACTTTGGCTCGGAGCCCTTCGCCGCTTGGTATATTTCTTAAATTAACTAAAATAATAATATTTTATGGATTACATTTTCAAAATAACGCTCTGTTTCTTTGTTACAGGTAGTCACGTGATCGATCGCTTTATCCGGTGATCGGATGATACATTTTTGCTTATCAAACTTCAAAACAACTATGTACGCTGATTTTTGCATACAAATAAAATAAAATTCATGGATCACAATCATTAATTAAGGTCGTATTTTTTTGTTACAGGTGATCACGTGACTTCTGGATTTGGACTTATTTTCCTAACATTCTCTTTTGATCTTCAATTATTAAACAATTATGCATACTAAATTATAATTCAAATAAACGCTAACGCATCGATTAACCTTATCTTAATTTGTTGGTAGCCCGAATTGTCATCACATTTTCATTACAAGTATTATTATTAATTCTTTCTCTTTTTTGTTTTAGTTATCCAGGTAATGATTTTGGGGAACGCCATTCATCGATTACATTATATTTACTTTATTCATTTATACTTTCATTCACGCTTTACCGATTGTAGAATATATAAAAAAAAACAATAATCATCTTAAATGTTTCGTCTATACTATATTGCCTTCATAATTCGCTTTCGTTACCCCTACGGGTAAACATAAAACCAAAAAAAACTATATGGATATAAAATGATCATTAATTAGATAAAATAAAACTAAAATTAAAGATATAATAAGAATAAATCCATAGACAATATTTGATATTCTCGGATAATGCTAACTCAAAAATAACATAAAATACCATATAAATACACACACCGAAATAACACTTTATCTGTCTATAACTTCTGGAATTGTTCGCGTGACTTTACTCCTCCGTCTCCATTGATAACGGCGGGGTCACCGGCTCAAACCTTGGGCTGTCCGGCTCGACCTCCTCCTCCGCCGCGACCTCTGGAACTGCTGTCGGGTGGTATTCCTTTTTTTCCCCGGTCCAGCATTTCTCTCGTTCCGTCATCCATCTGCGGACCACTTCCAGCGCTTGCTCCGCCCTCTCCGCTGACGTCTCCGCAGTCGTGACATGAACCGTAGACGGCTGCAACAGTGCAGACAGATACAAGGTTAGGACGCCCAACTCCGATGCCCGGGGGTGAGCGTAAAACCGACATCAGAGCCTGAGCCGGTTTCGGCTGATGTCGGCAGCCGCCGTCAAGATTCGTCGTCCGGGGCGGAGCGGGCGCTCGAAGTGGTCCGCAGGTGGATGGAGAGGCGTGAGGCGGAAGAGCGCCGCCCGACGGCTGT